GCCGTGCAAAAGCTGCAGCCAGCAGCCTAGGAAGCCGCTCGCTGAAGCACACTTCGTCGACGATCCCTGAGCTCGCTCTTGACGCGCTCGAAGGAAGCTTCGTCACACACAGAGGGCGCCAGCTTCTCAGCCCAAACAGCCAACTCCTGTAGAGCAGACTTGTGCTGCTGGCTCTGACTTGACGACACAGCCACCAGCAGACGCTTCTTGCCGCTGACAGTGCGTAGCCTGCGCAGCCCCATGAAATGCAGACGACATTTCACGAATAAGACATTAGACATAATCTCAGCCTAGGCACTGAACGTAAGACTGGTCTTTGGCAAAGGTGAAAGCCAGTCCCGAGTACTCGAAGTCGCCTTCGCCCTGGTGCTTCGAGACGGAGGTCTCGCGGGTCTTCTTGCAGGCATCCTGCTTGCCGCTGGCCTTTGCGGACTGTTGCGCAGCAGCTGTCAGCTGCCGCACGCGCTCTCTCCGCTGCTCAGGCCCTTGCTTCTTTGCCTGCTTCACGGCTGCGAACGCTGCAGTCTTTACCGCCTTTCGCACAGGACTCGCGGAGAGCGCTGCTTTCAGAGCACTGTCCTCCACCGTGTCTGCAAGAGTTGCCGCGGCCGCAGCTAGCTGGACCTCTGGCCGTGTGTGCTGCTGCCTGCAACGCAGCTTCTTGCGCGGAGGAGACGTTGACAGCAACCTGGCCAAAGCCACCTCGTCCCCAGACTCCAGGAAGTTGCTGTAGCGGCCCTGAACTGCAGCTGCCTGAACGAAGCCGTTGAAGTCAGGCCACGCCGCAAACTCAGCGCCTCCACTCTCTGCAGGCGGTAGGCTTGCAGGCTTGCCGCACGTGTCGCTGCCCACAAAAGGAACCAACTGCAGCTGCGCAGGATCCAGGTCGGCGACGCTGCCACTGCAGGAGCGCTCACTGTCGCCCACTAGCTCCAGCAGGCGGCCAACTGCTGCACACTCCTTCTCCGAGGCCAGTTTGAGGTGCAGGGCCGGCTTCCTGGACCACAGTCAAGAATTTTTTACACATGCTGCTATTAGCAAGGAAACGCATCAGTAGTCTTGCCAAGCAACAAGCGCATCTCCCGCAACTTGGCCAACTGGCTGCGGATCACCTCCGACAGCTTGTCCAAGTTGTCGCTATCATTCTGGTTCGTGAAGTTGATGCGACGAGTTCTGCCCAAGTTCTCCAAAGCCGCGCGCATCTTGGTGGGCAAGATCACCTGTGCACCACGCGCAAGCTACTGCTCACCGGCAGGGCAAGCAAATATATTTAGTGGAGTCACGCCAGAAGGCTCCAGCAGCAGCAACTCCCGCCAGAGGTCCTCTGTAGCAGCAAGGCCTGCGACGGAGAGCGTAGCCGAGGTCTTCCACGTACAACGCTCGAAGTGGCGAAGGTAGTGGTTCAGATCCCAACTCCCTTGCGTCTGAAGAACGCCTTCGAAGACCTTCTGCAAGTCCGAAGCTGCTAAGTTAGGATCGCCCCTAGTACGGACTTTCTTCTTCAGCAGCCCGGCCATTGCAGCGACTACCTGCCCTCTGCCCCCTGGTTCGGCAGCCAAATGCGGCGAGAATTGCCTGCTCCCTCGAAAGGGCATGTGCCAAGCAGCAAGCAAGCCAGCATGCTGGAGTGGCTTAGGCT